ATTTGTGTTTTATTTTGTAACTTAAAACTAAATTCATCCTTTGGCTGATAAAATGTTTTTCTGTTTCATTCTATTCTATTATAATAAAAAACCTAACTGATCATCTTCAAATCTTAAATATATATTTCTTTATTATGAGTTCTGGCATATACATAAAAAATAATGTCAGCATCATTAGATATAAAATATATATATATGTCGGATCTATGAAAACCTGTCTTCTGGCCGAACCTCTTTTTCATTTAGTCCAGATTGCATAAAAAATTAGAGGGATGTATAATGAAAACATATTTATTCTGAGAATCATAAGATTAGCTCTTCCATTGAAAAGCAAATGAAAAAAATGGACCAAACCCATAAATGGATCAATAATCACAGTGATATAGAGTGATAAACTAAGTAAGAAGAAAGAAAGAAAGAAACAGGAAATCCAGCTTTGGGAAGGAGAGGAAACAGTTTTTTCTGCATAATTTGGATTTTAAGATGCCTTATTTAACATAATGGACACCGTTTGTAAGCAGATTTTATCAGAGAAAAGCCTGGAGGTTACGAGTCTAAAAACATTTTAGGACAGGAGAGGGCGCATCTGCTTGTGGGTCAGACATTGCTTGTTCTCTCAGAACCTACATGGGTTTATGCTCCTTGGTCGGTCAGCTTTTTCATCTATATTTTTCTCAGCTTTAAAGGGGCCCTCCATTTTCTGTTTGCCCTAACTCCAGACAAGGCGAGTTTATGTCAGCACAAAATTTTAAGTGTTATACGGATGGATAACAGCTCCTCTTTTGGGCAGCAATCCAAAACAAAATCTTTCTGAAATACCTAAGAAGATCACAGTTAACAAAATAAAACAAACAAAATAACAACAAGCTAATCAAACTGGATTAGGAGTGGCTTCATTTATTGTATTTTCGGCTGCATAGTCCATCTCTATCTCCTTACTCTCTCTGCTATTCTACATCACTTTTTCCTAATGGTTCAGCACCCTGAAATAGACAGATATTAGGAGTAATGTTTTTAATACAGTATTTCAAAAAACTGTGAGTATAAATCCCAAAACCCTTTTTTTTTAACCTTCCTAGAAAACAGAAATATTATTTCAGAATAAGTGATAAGAAGCAGAAGGTAGCTCACATCAGGCACTCAAAATGTAGAAAGATGAATGTGACTTTTTCACCTTTGCTCACCAAATATATGAAAAGTGCGTTAACCTTCAATAAGTGTGAATAATTTTAAATAAACAGATTTATTGTTTTGGAAATCAAAAAAGCACTTCCTGTGCAATCAAAGATGATTTAGTCCAAATTTCATCTGAATACTTTTTTACCTGGCTTGGGGAGAATATTGAAGTTGTTTTTTTTTTTTTGTCTGCATGTTCAACGTTGCTTTATGTGCATTTCAAAAACCAGTACAAATGTAACTGATCAGCCTAACATTTCATATTTTTCCCATTGTTCTAATAAATTAATTTCAAAGCTTTACATTAAGGTAATTAGTTGGATGATACTAGAGGAGAACTGAAGCATTTCTGCTGAAACCCACATTTGTTTTGCAGAATGTGATTTCCCAGATTACGGCAGACTTTAACTCCAGGTTGAAGTTTGATTCTTTTCGTTCATCAGCGATTCCACCCACTAGTAAGGTAATAATTCATTAGTCTTACCTGCTGCACATTATCATCTGTATATCTTCTATTCACACGGGTATTTATTTAATTATTGCAGGTTAAAAGCTATTCAGTGAAGCTTAATAATGCAGACATTCGGAGAAAAGAGGCTTTGCATGACCGTCAAGTGAAGGGGAATCTACAGAGGTACTGAAATACATCTACTTGTTTATAACCATAACAGGAATGCATGATATCAGGAAAAAAAGTGATATAAACAAAGAACCATGCATTTTAAAAACAACGTTTTATGAGTTCCATCTAACTATTTGGGGGAAGAAGGTTTATAAAAGACTTTATCAGAAAATCAGAATACCTTCCTAAACAAATTCTACGTTAGACACAAAACATAAACAAACATGTTACAGACATACAGAGTTTGGATGCATGATAATAAAATAAATAGTAATAACTACAGTATCTGCTTTTAAGCATCTATACCTGCTTACAAATAGCCTTATTTGATCTAGATTGACTTTGATGTCTTAATGAACATCCATACCTGCCTCTAAAAATGTGTACCAGTTTTTAGATATATATTCCTATTAATAGAAATAACTATATTCGCTTAATATTATCTGTAACTGCTTATAAACATCTATAACTGACTATGGTTATCTGTATCTAGTTAAAATGATTTGTGAAGCTATATATGTTGCTTTAGACACCAAGTAAAAATTTTATACAGTTTAAAAGATTTTAATAGTTGTCAAAACAAATTTGAACTGTTTACTCTAATGAGATCATATATCGCTCTGAAAATAGCCCAACAGTTTATGCATTAAATGATATTCCCCCATCTATTCTATAGCTTAACAGTTTGGGGACCAGACTAACTAAACAACAACTAACCCAATAAGATCATAGAACAAACAGGGATTAAAAATAATGGATCAGAAAGCTTTGATCCAACTATTTCTTTTAAAAGCTTTTTTTTTTTTAAATATATTTAAACAGTTATGTATCTGAAATGAACACAGGATTAACAAATACACAAAACCATGGCCTTATGAAACGAGGAGTAGTAAGTGAAACTATTTGCCAGGGAAATACAAAACAAATTTCGGTAAATCATCATTATTAATCTAAGGTATAAAATTATAAACTTATTACCATCTAAACTCAGGAAAATGAAAGAATCCAATTCATTAAGTTGGAAGTGAAGAAATGGTTAAAGGGGAAGCAAGTCTGTGAGCACTAATAAGGTCCATGCACAACATTACTTCCTGAACTTAAGGCAGCTCCTCTATTTCATTACCGGATGAACTGATTAATCCAGGTGTGCCTGACTTCAGTAACCATGGCCAGATCCACCTGGATTAATCAGTTCATCCAGTAATGAAAGACACGAAACAAAAGACATATGTCCCCATATGTTTTCATGACATATGGGGACATTTCATTCACTTGCAAATGATTTCATATGGCCTAATCCCTTATCCTAACCCTAACTATTGCCAACATTTACCTAACTGCAACCTTATTCCTACACCTAACCCCAACTCACAGGACAGAGCTGTACTGTATGGGGACCAGTTGAATGTCCCCGTATGTACCTGTAAGTCCCCACATGTAGGATATTTTACAAAATACTTCCTCTAATTGTAGGTAAAACAAGACCACACCCTGACACACACACACACCCACCCACACACACACAGTTTTTTTAATTTCACCATCACAATGAGGACCAGTTGTTATAAAGTGAGGAAATTTTGCTGGTCCTCACAAGGTATGTTGGTAATGGTTAGGTTTAGGGCTAAAGTGTCAGTTGGGTTAGGGTTAGGGGGAGGTTTGCATTGGTAATGCTTAGGTTTAGGGTTAGTTTTATGGTTAGGGCGTAGAAAGGGTTGAAAATGACTGAAAAACAATGGAAGTAAATGTTAGTTAACACATGATCCTGACTACACCTAGAAGAACAAGCATGTGGGTGTATGTGTGTGTGAGTGTGTGCAAATTAGCTGGCTTTATGAACCTGTATACATACTATAAGCTTTTAGACAGTGTTTAATATATTTTTCCCTGTTAAATTAAATTTAAACATAATAAATATCTAGATGTTAGGGAATATCTATATCTGCCTCTCAGCTTGAATTTCTTCCTCTGCAGAGGAAAGTAATACTAAAAAAAGGCTGCTTGAATCGCCTCGAAACTGTAATATGACCTAATGCACAATAACTGCCTCATATAGCTGGAGGCTGTTTTTGTCAATAACTTTTCTCTTCATAACAAGCCGCAAGTTATAGAGAGGCTTCTCCACTTGACTGACTGAGAATATAAATCAATGTTTTAACAGAATAGAGCGACTGGTGGAAGGAGGTCGAGACCCCTTATCTATCCTGCAGAGGGAGAGGGAGATCCTGAAGAGGGAACATAAGGAACAGGTGCAAAGGACTGAACTAAAGCGTCTGGAGACACAAATCTGTAAAAAAGAGGTAGCTCTGGCTCGGACTCGGATTACCGAACAAAACCTTAAGGCTGCCCAGCTGAAGAAGGAAGAGGTACGTAGTTACAAGTCAATAGTGTCGCAACACTGGAGAGATGATTACAAAAATGTGTCTATTACTTATCCCTCTTCATCACTCACCTGAGAATATCTTGTTTTTCGCCAGACTATTCAGCTCATGAAGAGATATGCAGAAAAACGTCTGCAGGAGGAAGAACAATTCAGGGAATTGGCAAAACAGGTGGCAGAGGGCGAGAAAAACGCAAAGGCAGCTAAAGAAAAGATCACAAAGTTAAAGCAGAAAATTGGTACGACTTAAACTTTGACAAAAGACAAAGAGCAATTTTGTGATTCATTATGACCTCTCGTCAATTAAACGCTCATTTCACAGTGAAAGAAGTATCCGAACAAAATCAGGAGCTCCTTCGTCAAGCGCTTGAGGAACAACAGAAGGAGCTTTGCAGAAAGTTTCAAATCATCCATGAAATTCACGTTATTGAGACTCTTCCTCGCATTAGACTAAACGGTTTCGATGACACGGAGGTGAGTAGATTTCACACACAGCTTCATGGTAGCCTGCGGGACCTCTAACCTGTCTTTGGGTGTCAGACTGCGGACCATGAGCTGCACAGTGGGATGTCCCTGGCAGAGCTGAAGGTGAGGCTGGCTCTGCTGAGGCAGCGCCAGCAGAAAGAGGAGGAGGAGAGACGGAGCCTCATTGTGGCGGAGAGACAGAAAAAGAAGCAGGAGATGCAGGAGGCGCTTGAGAAAATTGAGCTACACAGGAGAGTGCTTGCAAAGGAAGCTGCAGACAGGTAGTCGTTCTGAACTGTTCATAAAAGTGGTGAATTCCAACTTAAACTGATGGTGGCTTTGAAACATTGCAGAAAAGAGGAAAAAAAGGCCAAGCAGAAGCTCCTACAGCAGTTTGTGGCTCAGGATGAAACCATCCTGGCTCTAAAAAAGAAGTTAGAAGAGAAGACGCAGGAGTGCCAGAGAGTGAAGCAAACTGAGATGAGCAGGACCAAACCCGCAAAGAAGACCTCCACAGGACCGCCTGCTCAGGTGAGTTTACCTCAGGAGTTCATCCTGCTGGTCTTTGAGTTTCTGCATTTACAATTAATCATTCTCTTTATCTTCTTTTCCCAGAAAGATGTAAAAACATGGGAGGAACTGGAGCAAAGTTTAGCTCGCTATATTCAGGATACTCCATGATTCAACCTTTTCCGAGAAAACACGTAACGGTCTTGTGAAAGGCACTCCCTAAGATAGTTCTTGCTTTATCTTCTCATGATCCTAAAGTTTCCTGACACCTTATTTTGTTTTAAATCCTATTAAAGTGACTTTATGCACAGAATCAGATCATCAGCTCCCCTCCTGTTTCTAGACCAGATTTTGTTTCATTTCCTCCCACAGCTTCATAAAGCATGAAAAGGTGAAAAGAGAAGTGGGCCTTGAACCTGTGACTCAACAGGGAATTTTCCCTCCCAACAAAACCAGTTCATGGAAACAAGTTACTAAAATCTGTTCATTGTTACTAAGAATTTTCAGAATTATCTGTGCAAAAATGTCACATAAAGAAAATTGTGGCATTAACTTATTGTCAATTTAAAGTCATATAGAAAAATATATTTCCCCCCAGCAAAAAAGAATCAGTCAGTCTTTACATCTACAGCACTCTACATAGTCAGCTGTAACGCAAATGGTTTGTATAGGTTGGAATAGGCACACACAATGAAATAATTAAATCCAACTAAATATTGATATCAAAACAATAACGAATAAAAGGAACTGTGGAATGAGGAACCAAGGAGTCATGTTTGTTAACCCGGATCACAAGCTAAAGTGCAAGAAAATTTTTTATGCTTACTAGAGAAGAAATGAAATTATTAAAAAAAGGAACTTACAAAAATGTTCATTAGGAACAGGCCAATGACAAAACAACAGGAGAAATTTTGATGTTGGTGCTAAAGACAATGGCAGCTAAACAGAATCCTGCAGAAAACAGAACAAGTCAGTTTAAAGGTGAAGAAATTCCAAACAAACAGAAGACTTCAGATGAAATGAGGAGTAGCCGAGTAAAGGTAGAGCAGCTGAGGGACAATACTAATTACCCAGAACTGTCCTGAAAAGACATACCAAGAAATCCCCTCAAATATCTAACGGGAAATATATTATAAACATAAAAAGGTTAGGTGTATGCTGTTGTTTATGTAACCAAATAACTAGATAAATTCCTGGTGCAGGACAGGAGGGGCAGTAGTTCACAGCAAGGTCAACACCTCCACGAATACCTCTCTTACAACCATTATGGACAGATCTTGGTCAGAGAAGACAGATTATTTAAAAGAGGTGTGGAGGAAGCCATCTTTGTCAAAAGAGAAAAGGCAAACACTAAATAGTAGGGAAACCTTGCGGTTTCAGCTCCCAAGCATATATAAACAGTCTCATCAAGATGGCCAAGGACACAACTCACCAAATAACAGACTCTAGCAGCTCAGGAGAACAACAGATGAGCCATTGATTCACATCTAAATGTGCCTGTAGGACAGAGGGCCTCTATGTGCTTTTAAACAGAACATTTTAAGAAAAACTGAGAAAAACTCTGTTTGCCTCTGATTTAAGGCCATTTAGTAGGATTAAAAATGAACATAAAACAAGGAAAAGGTCAGAATACACACTAAAAAAAAGTAAAATGAAAACTCAAACATCTCAGGTTTCTGAAATTCTTTACTTGGATTATTGTGTAGGTTTAATAATGACACAAAGATGTAAAAGAAAAATAGGTAAAAACTGGACAAATCAAGGAATATTCACACTATTCATAATTGATGTCAATTTTTTTTACGAAATCTAAGCAAATAATGAAAAACTAAATGATTTAGATGAATAAAACATGCTTCACTGAGGTGAATAAAAATACCGGATAAGTAGAAATGTCACATATTAAGGAAATAATATAAACAGCTATAAATGATTGATGTTATATTGATTTGAATAAAATAAAACTGTTTTTGAAGATTTAAAAAAAGGATGTGCACAAGTGATTGAAGTGATGAGAAGCACAAAAGATATACATATATAAAAAACATATTAAACATATATGATTGATGATGTAGAAATATGAGATAATGATAAAGTATGCATTTGTGTAAATTAGATATGAACAAAGAGATGTTACTTAAATGGTTGGTGTTTAAAAAAATGTTAGATGAAAATACTTCCTACTACACTTAGTAAATAATTGACTTTACACAAAGAACACATAATCTATAAATAAATCAAAATAAGTAAATCAATCAAAAATGATCGACGTAAATTAAAATAAGTTACCTAAATATTTGGTGTGAATAGAAATATATAACTGGTGCTTAATCTGAATAATGACAGAAAAATGTGACAAAATAAAGAAGACTGGACAGACTGGAGATGTAAGTTAAAAGTATATTTTAAAAATTCATAATTGATATACATACAAATGTGAATGTATTAGGGAAGAGGATTAGGGCCACTGAAAAAATTAAAAAAAGTTAATTGATTTTTGAATATTATTTCAGTTTAATATTGGAAAAAAGTCAGAATTCTGACTTTAATCTCAGAATTCTGACTGAATTCTGACAGCTAACAAACATGTTAGCATGAAGCTGAACCCATGTCATGTTTTAGAGACTAGCTCTCTTGTTTTAATGCCCTTCTGCCCCTCCATTAATGAAATAGCATCACTGGGGACGCCTTTGGCATGTAAAAAGTTGCCTTATTTCGTCATTTTTTACCTATGTGTTACTGGTCCTCCCAAACAACTCACTCAGTGAAGTGCTCCTACATCTCTTCCTTCATTGTGTCTACATTAAGATCCAAAATCCTGAGATTAAAGTCAGAATTCTAAGAAAAAAGTCAAAATTCTGAGGAAAAGGTCAGAATTTTTAGATTAAAGTCAGAATTTTTAGATTAAAGTCAGAATTCTGAGATTAAAGTCAGAATTCTGAGAAAAAAGACAGAATTCTCAGATTAAAGTCAGAACTGTGGGATTAAAGTTAGAATTCTGATATTAAAGTCAGAATTCCTACTTTTTTCTCATATTATACCGAAATAAAATAAAACAAATCAGTTAACTTTTTTTGTTTTTTCAGTGGCCCTAATCCTCTTCCATAGAATATAATAAATACTTTATGTAAATAAAATATTTATCATCTACTTTTTTTAGTTCGTGATTTCGTGCAACAGCGCCCCTGCAGGCCGTTGGCTGTAAGAGCAGCAGCTCCGTTCTGGATCCTGCCCATTTTTTCTTGGTTTTATCCTCCAAAGTAAAATCACATGACGCGCATTTTGTCATATGACATCGATGATAGAGTTTATTCTCGGGTGAATAAGGACCTGGTGTTTTCAGCGATGAGATGCTGCAGACAGAGCCAGGGTGGAGGTTCAGGCTGATCCGCAGGAGGATGGACCGTCAGGGGCTTCTGTCTGTCTTTACCGCCGCTTGTTTCATCGGTGAGTTTCATCAAACTAAAGACGGAAGCAGCTGTGTGCTTTATGAAAACTCCAGATTAACACCAACTGATATATGGGTTTAACCCAGACCGGTACATAACTGGTAAAAAAAAAAAAAAAAACATTTTTTTTTTTACTTTTACTGTGATTGTTTCTGCAGATATCCATTATATAACTTGTTAAAAACCTTCGAAACACAAAAATGAAAGATTGTTTACTGAATCATCTAAAGTTATTCATAAAAGAGCTGTATTAATGTAGCTATATTCATTTTTAATTGGGTCTTATTTTATTTTTGCTATTTTATTCACAGTAAATCCTTTTATATAGCCCTGCATAAACATACTCATATTTCTGTCTTTTTTTTTTTTTTTTTTTTTTTTTTTTTTTACAATAGTTTTCATATTTGTGAAGGATAAAGTTTCTAACCCCAACAAGGACAGGCATCACATGACTCCCTGCTGTTGAATAATTAAATTTCATGAGGATGATGGCTCCTATTCAAGAAAGCACTTATGCACATGCTTTCTGTGATTAGCTCCACAATATGAGCTCTGTTTGTGTTTCTACCTGCTTCCTCCACCCTAGCAGCCTGCTTTTCAAATTTACTCCTGAACAATCCTTTTCTCAGAAGGTCAAGTTAGACCGGGTCGTTTACCACACAAAAATCTGATGTGAAAGGTGGTTGATCGAGGAGCTCCTGAACTGTAAAGAGTTAAGGACCCCTGCTTTATTGCACTTATTCAGTTATTGAAGAGTTAGCTTCTCTCCAGGGGAATCAAGCAGATTATTGGTTCTATTTACTCTCAACCATTGAAAATAAGGCAGCTTGGTCCAAAGTTCAGATTTGACAAATACATTACAACAAAAGAGAAGCCGGTCCCCATCTGTGTTCTGGTGTTTGTGCATGTTTTTGTTCTTGTCAGACAGCTGTCTGCGGAAAGATGACCGGGTTCTTCTCCTTCAGGCTTGGTACAGAGCCAGACCACGCTCAGCCCTGCTGTGATGAACACCACTGTGCTGCAGAATGCCACCGTTGTGACTCCAACCCCCGTGATTTTTAGCAGCACCACCCCAGGCTGTTTCGCTTTCAACGTTTCTACTTGTGAGGCTTGTGCACCAGGGTCACAGTACGATAACAGTGAGTCAGGGGGTTCTTTACATTATCTGTCTGCTTTTTTTTTTTTTTAAACCTTTTAGATGTACAAATTTAGCAAATTTTCCACATTTCCTTTTCTCCCACACCAGACACCCTGCTTTGCACATGCTGCCCTGACCCTGGGCTGTGTATATTCCCCGGAGCATGTCTTCCATGCAAGATGGGTTTTCATCAGCCACTGGCAGGAAAGCAGGAGTGTCTGCCCTGCAGTCCAGGCTCCTACACAAAGTAAAACTGCACCCCTCTGAAAAGTTTTCCTTCTTATCACCTATACCGCTCCTGAACTCCCTGATTTTTCTATCTTTTCAGTTTTACTGGGAGCCCGTTGTGTCACCCCTGCCCTGCAGGATCTTTCAACAACAACACCGGTGGAGAAAGCTGCTCAAACTGTTCTCCAGGTGTATTTATTGAGCCACAAATCATTCCTGTGTCGTAAATCAGTAACAGCAAATCAATTTAAAGAAGTTGACTCTCAGATCACAGTTCAAATATGTTTACATTACTATAATCTAAAGTCAGATAAAAACCTTGACTCACACATTTGTTATTTTTTCACCTTCTGCTTTCAGGTTTCTTTGCATCAAAGCTCGGCTCCACTTCCTGCACACCATGTGCACAGGGAAGCTTCTGCAAGTAACTTCTTCTTATTATTATTTATTCTGTTGTTGTTATTCTCTAACCAGGATAAAGAACAAGTTTCCCTTTTTTTGCCAAAGGGGTGGGGATCACTCATCCAACCCCTAAATTGAACATCACATGCTTCCATTTCACGGCTATGCTTGCCGGCACACACAAACACACACGCATACGCAGACGGAACAGCTAGGGCTTTTAGCATTCACTGGCGGATATAAAAATCAAAGCTCTGTGTATGATCACGTCTTAGTGGCTTTTAAGTTGA